TTTATCTCCCCAACACTGTTGGTAGCCATGCACTCATATATTGCTTCATCCCGAAGGACACGCAGCGGTTGAATACGTAGAACTGATCCAGACCCATCATCAAATTCAATAACCTTTTTTCAAAAGAGGGGAAATTGTATTACCCATTTTATTACTGGTGGACACACAAGATACCATTTCCTTTTAAACCATGACTGAGGAATCAGGAAAGGGACAGGGACCAGCCCCTCCACTCTCTGGGGCAAATTCCTGCAACCTTGTTTACCATGGTGAATGATTCCATCTGTACAGTCCTTCCTTAACGAAGATTTAAACCAACAAGATGTTGTTGTAAATTATGGTTTGGAAACCATACCGCATACCTTAGTTGTCCACCTTTATTAATAATGAACCCTATTTAGCATTAAGCATGATTAACATTCTGAAACTAAAAGAAACTCTGTCTTTTTGCCATGATACAGAGTTTGGCCATTAACACCATGACTCAAGTTTCTGTGCTGCCCATTTCCCCTTTTTCCTCTGCTCATGTGCTCCTCTCATCATTCCATTCCTTAAAGTATTCAAACTGGAAGTACAAAGTAAATAATGGTTGAAGATTCTTGTTTGTAGGCAACCACAGTTTGCTGAATTTGAATATCACAGCAAACTACTTTTTGCTCAGACTAGGAAGTGACTAAGTGAACTGGAAGAGAGAGAAAGAGGGACTGGGAGAGCATGAGGCATAGTACAAATAGGCAAACCATGGTTTGGCTATGACGCATGAACTGGGTCATTAACCATTCATGAAATCAAAGAAATTTATTTAACCCTCTCATAGAGAAATGTGTTTATCATATAACCCATAAATTGTCCCTCAATGGCAAGGACTGCAAATGAATAGACACTGAACTTAATTAACTTCATACTCATCTAATTCCAATTTACAAACAAAGCAAAATGAGATGAAATAATATCACCAAGAAAATATAGTGATTACGGAAGGAAGCTATACTAGGAGAATCTTATTATTTTACCTCTCAGAAGAGAGTTAACCAATACTTATCCACATGGAATGAATAATTCCCTCAGTAGTCCAAGTCTGGAAATTTGGAGAATCAGAAATGCCATATTCCAGGTAATGTATATCAAAGAGGAAATATTTATTTCCAGTTCACATATTTGCTATATTTTAATGCCACCCAACATATGGAAACGCCCACAAAATTACTAGGAAAAAAATATATTCTGTGCGTACCTCAAATCGTTGGGAGCTAACTTTCTTTCCTTTCTTCATCCATGTGATACGTGGCTTTGGCTCTCCTACTGCTTGGCATACAAAGGAGGCCACACCTCCAGATATCCCAATCTGATCCTCAGGAGTTTTCATGAAGTTTGGCTTACCTGCAAGACAAATATACTGAATGGTGAAATGTGCCTGGGGTCTGAATTAAACATAATGAATATTACAGCAATCTGACTATGTCTATCTTGTGCGCCCAACTCAAGACTAATGAAATGACACCACACCTAGAAACAATGGATACACTGGTGAACAAAATAATACAACCAATTTTAAAAACATTATAAAGACTGTTTAGGAATAACTGTTTAGCTGCTAATTCTTCACACTCCGGTAATAAGCGAATTTCCAGTTTAAAATAGCCCATGTGGGCAGGCACTGGCAAACGCTGTTTAAACAACAACAAAAATTAAGTACAGGATTTCATTATGATCGGGCTGGAAAAATGTGAGAGTATCAGAACCACCATGTCCAAATTTAGTTATCACTGAAAGCATCCTGAGTTCTGGGAGTATATAATCCACCTGCAGATGGAGTTAATCAGCTACCGGATAGAACAAAAACATTGTTTTATAATATAAAACAATGGTTGAAACAGCTTGGGTGGCCTTACAATCTCTCTCACAATGGAGCACAAAGGGATTTCTGGAAGGCTTACTCTGCTTTGCTTGCTCCGTTATGACAGAGCTCAATGCACACCTGCTGTTACTGGTTTTTCATTTCGTTTCATTTTTGTTTTTTAATGCACACTGAGATGTTAAAAAACAAACTCCTGGCAATGCCAATACCCAATAATTACATGCTGTTAAAATCGCGGAGTGGGATTGCCTTTTTCAGTCAAGTGTTAAGGTGAAAGGTGGGCATTATCTGAGTTGCAGACCCTGCAGTCTCCTCTGGAACTGGAGAAGAAATGAAATGTCTGATCAACTGGTGTTTCCATCAATGCTAAACAAAAGTTTCAAGAAATGTATTCAGAAGCCGCTGAAAGCTATGAGATCTAACCCCCATTCTGAGCTTAGCAATTATTAATATTTTCTAAAAGATCAGAAAAACAACATTTACTTTAATGCAACAATAATAGCAATCCTGGTCACTATTTGCCCAAAGGATATTATTATGAAAATTACATAAAGCGCTACTAGACAATCAGAAGAACTGAGACCATCATGCTATAAGTTTTTCGAAGAAAGCTATAAATACCTTATTTATTCTCCTTCTATGTACCATAGAGCAAAGAGGAAAACGTTCCTGAGTAGTGTAATTAGGTCATTTAAATTTACACCAGTGAACAACACTCTCAATTTGTGAAGGTATTGATGAACACAATTACTTCTATGAAAATGATTAAATATATTTGGAATGATGAAGAAATATTTTTGGGGGCCTAATAGGAGGAGGTACAGGGTAAGCACAGAGAAACTATTTCTGAGATGCAGAAAATTGATAGCTCACAACATACAGCTTCAGTGTCACAAGCAATAGCCTGAGATTAAAATCAATCATTAGCCATGATTGCTTAACTTACATCGATTTCACATATTTACTTACCAAAATTCACATCAATTTCTGCTCAGTTTTATTTACAAATATCTGTATTTCTTCCCCTCTATAATCTCCCTCAGCAAAAGGCTAATAAGGTTCATGCTAATTTTGATTGCAGTGTAACTGACCATTTTGCAGTGCAATCTGCTCAGCTGTTTTGTTAGGTATTGGACTTCTGCATATGACTTGCTATTTTATGTTATTTATTTTGTGATGCTGAGGAACTAGCATAAATTTGGATCAGACATCATGCCTTTTCTCTTAAAAGGGATGAATGTATTGTTGGACATGTTAGCTCATTGTGAACAATGTGTCCTGAAAAGTGGTTTATAAATCTCTTCATAAATAAAGTGAAATATCGAAAGCACAAATGCAGACAATTCCACCAAGAAAGAAAAGTGAAAGGCATCTAAACAAACTGTGCACTTGCATAAGGAGCTTACAGATGAGCTGATATTTAAGAAGGGCATGTACAGTATAAGAAATGGAAAATCATGAAAGAAGAGTAGCAGACAGTTGCAGGGAGAAGGTTAGAATGAGCTGAGGAAGATGGAGAAATGCTACAGGCAGACAGAGAGAAGGCGGAACTGCTTAACACAGGCATCTCTAAACTTGGCCCTCCAGATGTTTTGGGACTACAACTCCCATCATCCCTAGCTAACAGGACCAGTGGTCAGGGATGATGGGAATTGTAGTCCCAAAACATCTGGAGGGCCGAGTTTGGGGATGCCTGGCTTAACACCTACTTTGCCTCTGTCTGCACCCAAAAGGAAAGCAGGGCCCAATATGGTGATAACAGAATAAATAATGCAAGGAGGGAGCTCTAGCCCAAGACAGGAAAAGAGGTGATAATGGAACACCTAGCTTATTTAAACAAATTCCAATCTCCAGGGCCTGATGAGCTACACCCAAGCGTACTAAAGGAGCTAGTGGATGTGATCTCAGAGCCTCTGTCTATAATCTTTGAGAATTCTTAGAGAATAGGTGAGGTCCTTGCAAACTGGAGTCAGTCTGTGAGCACTTAGAAAAGGAAGCTGCGATTACTAAAACCCAGCATGGGTTTTTTCCAAAAAAAAATCATGCCCGACAAATCTCATTTCTAGATCCATTTCAATTGGAGTTTCAATCTGGCTTTTGTACAGAAATGGCCCTGGTTGCCTTATATGATGACCTCTGTTGGGGGAGAGACAGGGGCAATACGTCCCTGTTAATCTTCCTTCCTTGACTTCTTTGCAGCTTTCGATACCATCAACCACTGTATCCTCCTGGAGATGTTATCTGATGTGGCGGTGGGCAGCACAGCTTTGTAGTGGTTCCGGTTCTACTTGGATCATGGTCTTCAGCAGGTGATGCTTGGGGAGTGTTTTTCAGCACCAAGGAGCCTTCAATGTGGAATCCCTCAGGGCTCAGTTCTATCCCCTATCTACAGTGGTACCTCGGGTTACAAACACCTCGGGTTACAAACACTTCGGGTTACAGACTCTGCTAACCCGGAAGTAGTACCTCGGGTTAAGAACTTTACCTCAGGATGAAAACAGAAATCGTGCTGCGGCAGCGCAGCGGCAGTGGGAAGAGCCCCATTAGCTATAGTGGCACCTCAGGTTAAGAACAGACCTCCAGAACAAATTAAGTTCGTAACCAGAGGTACCACTGTATATGAAGCTGCTGAGTGGAGTCATCTGGAGTTTTGGAGTGTGTTGTGAGTAGTATGCTCATGACACACAACTCTGTTTCTCCTTTACACCTACAGGCTTGGCAGTGGATGTGCTAGACTGATGTCTTGCCTCAGTAATGGACTGGATGAGAGCCAATAAACTGAAGCTCAATCCAGGTAAGACAGAGACACTGCACCTTCTCATCTTTGTCTGGTGGTTCAGCTATGCCCCTATCTGAGCAGGGATAGCCTAACATATGTGACCTATGCTCTGGTAACCTCTAGGCTGGATTACTGCAATGCATTATACATAGGGCCACTTCTGAAGACAGTTCCAAAACTTCAGCTGGTGCAAAATTCAGTGGCCAGACTGCTCACCAGAACAAGACAGTTTGAGTATATAACATCAATCCTGACCAGACTACACTGGCTGCCAATTAGTTTCCAGGCCCAAATCGAAGTGCTTGTGTTGACCTATAAAGCCTCACATGCCTCAGAACCTGAATACCTTAAGCTTCCTTTAATTCCTAGGGTACATGTAGCTCAGTTGGTAGAGCATGAGACTCTTAATCTCAGGGTTTTGTGTTCAAGCTTCAAGTTGGGAAAGTGATTTCTGCAATGCAGGGGGTTGAACTAGATGACTGTTATGGTTCCTTCCAACTCTATAATTCTCTGTTTCTAGAAGTTTATATGCAATGTAACTTACATTTAGTGAATTTATGAATTCCATATGCTCTAAATGTTCAAAGATGTTCAGGAAAATCTTTATCATAAAATTTCTAGCTTCTTTCTGTTCAAAGAAACTCATTTTACACTAAATAAATATAGGGAATACAAAAGTGAATAAGTCAAGTCTACCTGTTCCCAGCGGCAGATGGTGCCTGGATAGGTAAAATGCTAAACTAAGGTGCTCATGACAACAGTTAAGAGTCTCTGCTTTGTCATGGGGTGTGGAATAATGCTGATTACACAGAATATATAATGTTACAAGGTACGGTTACTGCCTGAGGCCAACAACCTTCTGCAATCTGACTCATCCCAAATGATGCTGTTGCTAAATCTTGCCCTTTTTTCATCCACAGCAACTCTGCCAATCAAGCTAATTGAATGTACCAGAGGGCTACCTTCCTAAGCTCCAGGCTTCCTACAACACAGAAAACTCCCTAGGCATTATTTTAAAATAAGGATTCAGTTCTTAAATTATATGTATTGTAGCTATTATATACACCAATGATTTCTGGCATGCAAAATATATCCTTGAGTGGTGACGTAAGAGATTCCTTAGTTTGAGGTCTCCAAGATCAACTGCCAAAAATAGTTTTGTTTGGTTTACGCTTTTGTATACAATTTGGGCAACCAGAGGGTGGAATAGCAGAGAGGAATGATTTAAATACAACAGTAGGAAATCACAAAGCAGACTTCAAGGATATAAAAGACCCTGAAATTGTCTTTCCCATATGCAGCTTTTTTCACATAAGCATTTTACAGAACTAAAGGTAAGCTTAAAATTGGACACTGTTATCTAAAATTCATTGTAGGAAGCAAACCAATGGTTGATCTGAACATTTAATATTTATATTTTACTTGTCAATAGTATGCATGCCATGCTGTATACATTAAGCAATAAGGACACACTTCCCTGGGTAAGGAAATGTTTTCCACTTCAGTGAGTGGGTCATGGCCTACAAAACACAGTGGAAAGACCAGCCACACATCTGGAACTCTTGCCACACATCTTAACTCTTGACACTGCAAGCAACACAATTGCTAAGAAGACTTACATTAAACCACTCCAATTTAATTTATCTCAGCCAATCATTGCACATGAGACACTATATGCCATAAGAACTTAAGCAGAGTACTGCCAAAAGCCCATCTAGTTCAGCATTCTGTTCTCACAGTGAGCAGCAAGATGCTCATGGGATGCCAGGAAACAGAACCTAAGTTCAATGATGCTCTACCCACCTGCAATTCCCAGCAACTGGTATCTAGAGGCATACTGACTCCGATGGTGGAGGCAGAGCATAGTCATTATGGCTACTGATAACTTTTTCCTCCATACGTTTGTCTAATTCTTTTTCAAAACCATCCAAGTTAGTGGCCAGCACAACATGTTGCCTAGTTTAACTATGCACAGTGCAAATAAGTAATTTATTTCATCTGTCCTGAATCTTCCAACCTTCAGCTTCGTTTGATGTCCACTGGTTCTAAAACTTCTCTCTATCCACTTTTTCCATGCCATGCACCATCACATCTACTCATACTCACATTTTCTCTGGACTAAAAAGCCCCAACTCATAGAAGAGTTGCTCCAACTCCTTGATCATTCTAGGTGCCCTTTCTGAACCTTGTCCAGCTCTAAAATATCCTTTCTGAGGAGATGTGACCAGAACCATACATAGTATTCCAAGTGTGGTTGCACCATAGATTTGTATAATAGCATTTTGATATTGGCAGTTTTTATTTCCAATCCCTTTCCTAATGATCCCTAGCATGGAATTTGCCTTTTTCACAGCTGACATACACTGGGTCAACATCTTCACTGAGCTACCCACCAGAACCCCAAGGTCTTGTTCCTAGCCAGTCATCAATTCAGACACCATAAACATGTATGTGAGAGATAAGAATGACCGCATAAACATGAGAAGGCTGACAGAAAAAACAAAGCACCAGGCAGACCACATGCGGACAGGAATGTAGTAATGAATCTCCTTGAATAAGAAAAGGAATGACAGATTATAAATGGCACTGCAGCTTTTGAAAGTGAAAAAGGTGTTTATTACACCAGGGACTGCCAACCCAACGCCAAGTGGTGGCCAGTCATTTCTATTGGGGTGGGTGTGTGGCAGACGTTTCCTTGGCCCATGGAAGGGTGACCAAGTATACTCTGTGTGCATTTTGATTGAGAGAGATACACTTAGCAGAGCGAGATGGAGAGGTACATGTATAGTCTCTGTGTATGTAAAGTGTGTGTGTGTGTGTGTGTGTGTGTGTGTGTTAAAGAGAGAGAGAGAGAGAGAGAGAGAGAGAGAGAGAGAGAGAGAGAGAAAGAAAGAGAGAGGAAGAGTGTGGTGCAGTGTGGCCACCTTGCATATTGCTCTTGGTACTGGGGAATGATTCCTGTTGTTATTCGACATTTTTAATTAGAAATAGCCTGCATAGCATGCAAATGGCCACCCAGAATAGTGAAGGTACAATATGGCAACCCTAATGAAACACAAGCAGCACTGAAAAGTTCCAATGCAGCTTTAGCTAAAACTGTTCAATTTGTTTCTTTAAAGTTACAACAACATAAACTATGACATTCCCTAAATATTGTTTCCTTTGGATTTTTCATCCCCTTTTCTGTAATCGCCAGACAGCTGGGGGCAGGGGTAGCCTTTGCTTTCTATAGTCTGAAATTAGTTAGCTCCCCTCAAAAAATGTTTTAAATTGAATGGATGTATCTGTAGGTGGGCGATTAAAATGTTTTGTAGGCTAGTTACTTTGGTGAACTTATTTGCAAAGCTGGGTTATTACTGAACTGCCTTAGGCAGCTTTCCCAGCAGTGTCTGACCCTGTTCTAACAGATGGTTGCAGGGGGCTTACACTGAAACCCACAGTTCCTAATTTACAACTTTCCTGAAAATGTCAAAATTATTAAATTGCACTGCAAAGTGCAAAAAGTCCAGAGCATGCACAGCCAGGAATAGAGGCAGAACTAAATTTATCCTGCCTGAGAAGAGATGGATATGAATGCTCCTGCCTGAAAAAAGAAACATGAAAATTAATTTTGCTAGCATGCTTACCACATTAAACACCATATTATTTTGCACAAAAGGATTAAAAGGTTTTAATCCTCCTTTGCAAGCAGCTGGTTCTTGGTGCAGCAAGTTCAAAGGACTCACCAATCTAATTTCCCTCCTCTAGTTTTAAGAATTTAAAGTGAGCTCAGACTCCTTTTACAGATAAACACAAGATGCACTATTACTTAGCCTCCCAACCCCAACAAGCTCCACTGTAAACAATCTCATTAGGATACCTGTTAGGATAATAAACAGCCTTCTTGGCTACTAGAAATGGTGAGGTAGATAAAAAATATATTTCATTTTAATAGTAGTGTATATTGTTCTCTGAACTGAATCTTGGACTCATCTACCTGGTGAAGAAGAGAGAATCCTGACTAACGATAATGAGTGCACTCTGACATTCCCATTACATAAGCCATTTTTCCTTATTTGTATAAACTACTTTTGCATGCATAGAGTTCAGAACAGAGCATCTGCAAACAAACAAAAGATCATTTACATGCTACCAAGATGCCAAGTTTCTGTTCCTGGCATGGATTGTAAGAAACACTCTACCACACGCTATTGATATTAAGTCAGTTGCTTATTTGAATATCTCTAGCAAAAGGATTTTTTTTAGCTTTGCTCAATGTATAATTATTTCCGCTCACTTTTTAAGAGGATGGTAGAAAGAGGAAGACTGCTTATGATCCTTCAATATACAAAATACAGCCCTTTTCGCAAACTTTAATTTTTACAGATTGAGAGTCATTGTGCCTTTTTGATTTCTTATTTAACACGAGTCACACAGAGCACCACTGAATTCCCACAGCACCTTTGCAGTTTAATTACTTCACCTCTTTCAGAAAGCCTATAGTTTGCACTTTAATCACATTTTGTTAAAGCCATTGAGAAAACTAATTACCTTTACTTTTCAAGCTTGCACAATGTACTTCCAATTGGTATTTTTCAAGCAAACACTTGACATCAAGTGAGTTCTGTCAGCAACTCTGACTTTAATTCTGGACCAATTTCTTTTTTCCAGTAGTGCTATCACCTAGTGGTGGTAGTGCAGAAGGCAATGTATGTCCAATGTATGTGTAGGAAATTTGGAGAAGAGAGATTTGTGATGAGATAATATATGCCTTTCCAGTCACCGCTAGCCAGATACTTCCATTCGTCTTCCATTCTCCCCAGGCATGAAATTCTAATTCAAGATGAAGGTAGGGCCCACAGATGATATGAGGCACCCAACACATAATGTCAGTGTGTTATTATGCAATGTTATTCACAGACCATCATTTAATCTTAAACACCCAGCCGCGAAGCGAGTCACATTTTAAAACCAAATTTGAGGTGCTCCGAAGCCTGCTTCAACTGCAATTCCCCAGGAAAGTAACAAGTAGGACCTCTCTTTTAAAAAACTAGGTAATTATTTTACCTAGGCCTCCTCTGAAATCTACCAAACAAGCTATGAACTATCAGGCTTGTGTAGAGCATTTTAAATGAACCAAGTGGAGCAGATCTACAGGTTTGTTTTGTTTATGATCGGGGGGGGGGATAGAACTTAAAGCTAGTGCCCACCCCCAAAATATTCTGTTGATTGATGCCTCCCCATCATGTGAGGGAATAGCTTGTTCAATGAACTTCTAGAATGCAGAAATAGTTCCCACCTCCATCAAGGGATTGTCATTATTTTCTGATGGATGTACGTGAGAAAAGGCCAAATGACAGAAGAATCGGTTCCTGTTGGCAGTGGAAATGTGAAAGTAACTTTGGAAGGAACAATGGGTTGGGTTCACAGAATTACTCTACCCCTGTGGAGAAACCCGATGATGTCTCATGACTGACAGAGCATTGTCTCTGAAATGCATCTGGTAGAGGTAATGGCTACCAGGAACAGAACTCTAAAGGATAGTAAGCACAGTGGAACCTACTTGAATGGCTCATAATAAGGACACTTATAGAGTTCATAGGACAGTATGTAGGTGCAAGTGGTTGCACTAGTGGGCAAGAGGTGTTCTCCTTGAAGGAAAATGAGGCAGGAACTGGTGAGCTGACATAGGTTGATCCAGGTCTTTGGAGATGACAGATGAAAGTGTTGAAGCCTGACAACACACAGTATTGGTTTTGAGACCTAGAGACAAGCCTTCCTGGAGAAAGAGAAGGAAGCCTGAAGACTGTTGCTCGTCTGGGAAAATTCCATTTGACGCGACATCAGGTCCTATAGTGTCTATAGTGTTGGAAGACTAGCTTTTGAGTCATTTCTTCCCTTCAACTTCCATAAGTGTAGACAGAGCCAAGGTAGGTCCTTGAGAGAGAAGGTCCTACCTGACGGTTAGAAGATAGCGCCATGAAAAGGTAAGGTTGGTTAGGGTCATGAAATGGCAAGGTCATATTGGCCCGTTTTTCTTGAATCTTCCTCAGGCTCTTGCTATCAGGGATAACTGAGGGGGACATACTGTAGCCCCTATGGCCATGGTGCTGTGAGGGCATCCATTGCTTCCATTGACCATAAGTAGAATTGGAAGAATTTCTTGACTTGTCAGCTGTCTAGAGTGCTGAAGAGATCGACTTCGACTTCCCAAAGTGACTGGTTATGAAATAGAAGATCTCTGAATAGAGTTTCCATTCCCCATTATTGAGACATTCTCTCCTCAGTCAATCTGCCTCTGAGGTTTCTGCTCTGGTAGAAAACCTACCCAGAGGAGGAGTCTGGATGCCTCCTGTTGTAGAGTAAGCATTTTCATAGCTCCATGTCTGTTTATGTGTGTGCCTTTAGGCTGAAAACTGGTTATGTGAATCAGGATTGCCTGAATGTACATGTGAGCTGTAGTGTTGTCTTCAGGGGAAAACAAGAGTGCCTGGGTTGGGACTGAGAACCCCTGTGTGAAGGACACACTTCAGATTGCCTCCTGGAGGTGCAGGGAGTAGTAATAGATACATATTGTTGATGGAGAACATTTGGAGACTGATATGGGGCTGAAGGGAAATGTACTTCCTTGGCTAGGTCTCTTTGGGGCAGTGCAGTGGATCTTGGCTCTGAGAGGGGTTTCCATAGGATAAGGATTTCCCGAAAGTTCAGCTGAGGGAGAGCTTCCCTGTGGTTGAACTGTTTGCTCTCCTTCTCCAGAGGAAGATGCTGTTGCCATCCTCTCTCTGTGCAGTGAGCACTACTCAGCCAAGGCAGGGACAGGGCCTCCTGCTGAGCTTTCCATTTCACACCCCTCCCCCAGTTAGAAAAATGCCAGATAAAGGGGGATTTATGGGCACACCTGATCTAGCTCTGAAATGCTCTGTATAGAAATCCCCTAAAGAGGGGGAAGCAGAGGCTGGTAAACTGGGAAGATCTGCCATAACTGGGTTGAAAGTAGCAGCAGCTACTGCTAAACATGAGGGAAGGGCTGGAGCTAAAGTTTGAGTAGAAGCAGAGCTCCCTGAATCACATCTATTGCCTTTAGAGGCTGTAGTTTGCAGCTTTAGTTCTCTCCTAGCAAGAGGAGAGTGTGAATTTCTTCTGTGCCTTTACTATTTAAATTCAGGCAAAGAAGCAGACTGAACAATAGCCATTCCTTTGCAGAAGAAATATCAGTTTCGGTTTCCATAGCCTTATCTGCCATGAGCATTAAGGCCAGAGAGGGAGAAATACAGAGGCTACTGATTCTTAAAGGTTGTGAAAATAAGCAACATACAAAGCCACAAGGTAAAGGAACTAGAGCCACAAAGAAATTCAACAAGAGGTAGAAGAAACAAGGAATTAACCAGCCTGAAAGAAGGTGAGCAACAGGAGTCTCAGGAAGAAACAACCAGTTTCTGCGAGGCAAAATTAAAAACTGAAGAAGGGGAGAGCAGGGAGGAGCCAAGACGGCAGTTTCCTGTTTGAATTGTTTATTTATTTTTGCTAGCTTGCAATGTTGCGTATTGATTGCCAGGCCGCCCTGAACGTAAGCCCAATCTGGCAGCAGCTTTTATGGGGTCTCCAGAAATGACATGAAGGCTGGCAACAGTAACCCTGCCGTAAGATGGTGGGTTCTGCAACAGCAACAGCATTTGTAACTGGAGTCAGTAATGTAGGGAGCAGGTCTTCCAGGTGAAGTGAAAGCGACTGAAGACACCACTACAGGCCCAGATCATGGCGTTGTAAGCGTTGGAGTCATTGGAGACAGTGAAAGTGGCATTGAGGTTGCTGGTGAAATCAACAAAATATGGGCTTGCAAGAGCTGCTCTTAATGGCAGTCGTATCACTTCTCATGGGTCACTGGAAACCTCCGTTGGCTCAAAATCGACACCAAGGATATAGAAAATGCTGGAGGATCCAGAGGAAGATGAAAAATTATAGCCAAGGGAGAATGCTTAATAAACACTTGACATGACTGGCAACTCAGCCTTGTGAGACTTCCAAACAGAACAAACAGCAATCATGACTGTTCTGTTCTCTCCCACAAAGTCATGTTCTTCCCCACACCAAAGAATGGCACTAAGTGAAGGATGACTAATGTATCACAAACACATGAGCACTGAATGAATGTACCAACTCCTAACTCATTGAAAAACTAAGCAAACCAATGATTTATGGTCCAAAGGAGACAGAAAAGCTGACCAAAAAACAGTTAGAAGCAGTTAGAGCAGAGCTGGCTCAGCCATTAGGCAGGGTGAGGCCACTACCTCAAGTGGCAGAAGTCCCCCAGGTGGCAAGCCCACGGCTGCAATGCCTACTGCACCACCTCCACCATTGGCAGAGAAGTGCCACTGCCATTGGTACCCATTTTGGGTGAGATCATGTCTATTTTTGGCAAGATCTCATCGAAAATGTGTGATCTTGCCCAAAATTGGCCCCAATAGAAAATACTTCTCTGCCAGCAGCAGGAACAGTGGTAATGGCACGACAGAGCAAACCATGTTAGAGCAAACCTCACAGGAAGGTGTTTATTCCATCCCTTTAGCATTCTGGGGGAAGGAGGGGAGAGTGCCAGTTTCTTAGCCAAAGCTCTAGAATTCCACCAAATTGCTTTGTGTATGCACATTTCCTATCAGTGTCACAGCACGGAGAATACAAAGAGGAGTAAGTGAGTGTATAGCTCTAGAATAGTCTTCACATAACCATGTAACGTATATAAAGAATATAGCACTACTGACATTAGTCAGGAGTAATTGTGACATCTGAAAGATCAAAATGAGGGGAAGGAAAACTATCACCTATTGTAGTATAGCTAAAATTTAGCCCTATTTAGACATGACAGTTTCCTCAAGCGCTGTCTGTGCTACTGATGTGCCACACCTCCTGTCTACATAAGACCAAAGTGAGTCCTTATGGAGACAGAAAGGCAATTTAATATAAAGGCACCTATGAAGTAAAAATTGGGTTATTAAAGATGAAATTCTTATATCTAAAAATTGTGCTTTTCCTTCACAGTATGCTGGAAGTCATCTCTATGTATTTTATTAAATTACCCAGGAAAAGCTGTCTCCTAATCTTTTAAATGAAATAAAGACTCTTATGTGAAATCAACATTTCTAGACTTATAATATTCTGGGTTTGTCAATAACACATTTCTCAACATTTTATTCACAATGTGAATTTAGATGCTTTCACCAAGTACATATGCAGAAACCCACCCAACCCGCAAAAAAGCAAACAAACTGACTCAGCACTTCCCAAATTCCAGATTGGTTTAGGCTCCAGTTGAAAATTAGCCAACAGTGATAGTATTGGACAGGAGATCAAATTCTGTGGCTAGGATTGCAGTCTGGAAGTTAAGTAGCAATCAGAGCATTATATCGTTTGGCTATGGGGAGAAAAGTTTTCAAAACTGGAGCATCATGCTCTAACGCTACACAGCGCTACATGTGTGGAAAACAGCCACAGACATGGCTTTTTATTGGATTATATGAGATTTCAGAAAAGTGTAATGAAACTGACAACAGTTCTTAAGCAAACCAAAGGCAATAATGTACATACACAGTATTTTTAAGGTCTGTAAAAGCAACACTGATTTTACAGTTTTTCAACAAGTTTCTAAGCCTGCATGGGAGTAGTAGCACTGCCCATTTCAACTAATACTGAGATGAAAGTCTACATATTATACTTTGCTCCTTGGAAGAACAGTATGAGGGAATCTAAACAGTACACTTATATATGATAGAATTATAAAATTATGATGGGTGCAACATACTCTAATCTGATTTAGTCAGTTCAGTAAAGATGGCTCTGGTGGTAGTGAAATCAGCTTGATGTAGCCATTTAATCTCAATTAACATCCCTTTTTTATCTGAATTTGTAAAATATAAAGGTATCCACCTAAATCATACTCAGGGTACCACTCCCTGAAATAGATGGAATTCAATTCGTCATAGCTAATTTCAAATCCACTAGGTGATATTCAACTAAGTTTTGCTCAAGAGGAAACCACTAAAATTAATGAACATGAAAAAAATAGGTGCATCAAGTTTGGTGACTCTAAGTAAAACATACTTAAATGACACCCAGAGTTTACATTGGGTCTACTCTAAGGAATATGATTTAGCCAAATACCACCCATATCAATCAATACTTCGAACACTCTCAATGACAATTGAATTAAGCGATGTACCTCTATCTGTGTTAACCAAGCTTCCTGGCAGGAAAGACATGGGTTCATTTTAGATATAATATTCCATTAAAGGATTAGGAATTAGGATTTTTTAAAGTATTTCACAACATGTAGCCTGAGGAAGAGTTCCATGAAACATGAAAGCTCACATACCACTGTGAAAATTAGTTGGGCCAATTAGATACATTATGTTATTGACCATGTAAATTGTATATGCTAAGGATCTAAGTTAGCCTAGTTTTGATTAGAGACAGCTGTCATCCAGTTAAAATAAACTGCAGCCAGTCATCAAATACACTTTGATTGATTAATTAAACAATCAAATCTACATAAATTATATTCTTGGGAATATAATATAGAATCATAGAATTGTAGAGCTGGAAGGATCCCTGAGGGTCTGTAATGCAGGAATCCTGCCCATATCTGTCCCTGGCTGGGCTTGAACCATCAACCTTCTAGTTAACAGCAAAACACACTGACCCAGTTTTAAAATAAAATTAAACATCTGAATATTTGCCAAAACTACTGCAAGTCACACTACAAGGTGGTTGTACAGTACTTGATTGTTGTATAAAAGGAAGTTGGAATGGTCTCCCGGGGAGAAAAGAATTTTGCCAGTTTTATGAATTCTGTAGCAAACACACAACAGTGTTAGAACAAACCATTCCAGGCAGCATCTGAAAAGCAGAAGGATCCTGATAAAGAGACTTTTGAGACACAAAAAGGCAGAGTTTGTACAGCTTAAGCCTTCATGAAGTCCCTGCCTTCATTTTTCCTGTGACCACAGTGTTTGCTTATTTATCTCAGAGAGGTCTCAAAGCAGAAATACACTTTGTCACCGTGTTAGAAAGATATACAGTTAATGTACGAGCAAGCACTTTAGCTGGCCCTACAGCATGTGTTTTTCCTCTGTCTTTAAATGACTGGAAGAAAAACACAAATTTAAAGATGAAACTGTGAAAACAAACCTCACTGCTAGTAAAGCAGCTGCTTCCTTGACTTCCATTACACACAAATGAAAGTGATGGTCCCTTAAGTGATTTGTGGTGTTCCAGCATTTGCCCACTGAACCATTCACTGTTCTAGACCTTGATTTACCTCAGAACTTTGCCAGCTGAACATTCTCACAATATTTATTGTTGATGTGGAAGACAAACTCCATGTCTTGGAGGTTACAGAAAAAGACACCAACATTAATCCCATTCTACTTCAAGCTTTAAAGCATTTGTGTTTGTTGCTAGGTTATGCGTTTGATTTGGAAACCAGATTTGCAGTACTAGCAAACTGAAAGGTGGCCGGCTGTCCTTTACTACAGGCACGCAGGCAGGCTTTCCCAAATTGCAGGGTTTTGAAACCTATTTGTACTTGCACACAGAGGCCCTGAATGGCTTTCAGGAGACACTAACATTCCCACTGTGTAAGCTGCCCCAATCCAATATACTCTGAATTCAATAGCAATACATCACCGGAGCCAGGGATTTATCTTGCAGATTTCAGCAATCATTATTAACAGCATTACAACCCACTTTTGTTTTGCTAATTTGGTGCTTCACCCATGAATAAGTGAACTTCATAGAGTAAATTACATACACAATATAAGTGCTGTTCTTATTATATTAACAGGGACCCATATATGTAATTCATCCAGTCTGGTTTCTGAGTATATCCACATTGCACTTAACTCCATTAGGCAACGATGGGCTGGCATTCAACCAAGCACACTTAACAAACTCCTTTGGGAAGCCAGGTGAACTGAATTCACCAAGATAGAAAGGATGAAAATGACAATTAAAAAGAAGAAGAAGATAACAGCTTTTAATTAAGAAACGAAGCAATGCACATTTATGGAAAACATAATGGGAATGGATCCTTAACAGAACTATTTAATTGTTAAAATATTAAAGTCACTTCTGTCATCTCACCCGTGGGTCTAAATTCACGAGTCTTCATTCTTAAATTGTTTCTGACATCAACTAAGGACAAGTTGAGAATTTAACTATTTTTAATAGAAACCTCTTCAATATGAAACCTGAATTTAATACAAAAGAGAAGCTAAAATAGACCCTTATCGTTTTTTAAATACTGTACCATATGTGATGGACACATACTACAGTTTTTTTATTTAACAGGAGTTAAATCTCAAAGTAACTCCACTAGAGGACTGAAGCTGAACCCGTTCTTATCCCCCCCCCTGCCCGAGAACACAGAGTAAGGAACTGGCTTCTCATGGCAGCATGAGATACTATATGCAAAATATTGGAAATCTGGTATTACCTCAAGACTGAAAGAATGGGAACAAAGGTTGTTTGAATATTCCAATAAATAGAATGGTGGAGAAATTATAATATTTCTCCCTAATGAATTTAAGGAGTTGGTGAGTTCATTCATTTTGACAGACATATAATCTTAACTCTTAGGGACGTGTGTGAGAGAGTTTTCACCTGCAGTTCTCCAGCCTGCATATATTCTGTTCAAGACTTCACTGTGAAATTGAGTTGGGGGGGCTCTGTTTGCTTGGTTGGTAATTAGATTACCAACCCAGCACCACTATCTTTTGGATGAATCTGAAAAGGACAGCACCCAAGAGAATCAGCAACCTTACTCCAACCCCCTCAAGGAAGCCCCTGTGTACTTTGACGTCAAAAGAGACAGAGTAGGTAGATGGGGAAATGGTATTGCGTATTTTAAAAGCATGATTATCTAGAGGAAGCTGAAGCAATGTAGTAATAGTGACATTTTCTACCGAGAATCTACTTACTCCCTCCTTGTATTAAGGGTAAATACAAACCCCAATAAATGGTGCCATTTAACTTCCCAGCTAGTGATACTCCATGTAAAGACTTTGCTTTTCTGGCAGTAAAGTAATGAAGAAGCTGGTGAATTGGTGCTACATGGTCTTTTATTCTTTGAGTCTGCTCAAGGAAGTGAAAAGAAAACTGATTTGTTATCAACTCATAGTGCCTCAAAAGACCCACATTAATGGCTAAAACATCTGTGGAAGATACCTGCTCCCTGAAAACTTGAGTCTGCAGAAATTATGAACATGATGAATCACAAGGACAATTACAGGCCATCTTGGGATGTTAAAAGTGAATGTCCTGTGAAATGGTCAGTTCTCTTCCTTGTATGTTTAGGGGGGAATCATTTAATTCTCCAACCAAGAGCTAGCCCTTTGGTGGTATCTCTTTTATCCCCCTTTCCTGGGCATGAGGAGAGTATCGGTAACCTACTTCTGACCCTCTTTGGAAGCTCTCAATAAAAGTTTTAAGTTTGCCTGCCTTGAAACATGTTTTAGGAAGCAACATTTTAATGTTATTTTTAATTCTAAAGCAAAATGCCTCTCACTTTGTTGGCTAATTTGTGGATGAACATAGGAAACTGTCTTTGACTGAGTCAGATCACCTGGAGATGTCATGGATGAAGGAAAGCATTTAATGTTCTGTAGGCTTTACCTTTTGAATGATATTTTAAATTCCACTGTATACAGTCTTCAATTCTAGATTTATCTGAACGTCCAGTAATTCATAGGCTTAATTTACTGACTGGTTACTAGTAGATATGTTGTTAAAGAATATCTGGACAGAGAAGCAGTTTTTTTATTTTCTCATATACTGTGCATGTTATGCTTGGTTCTTGAAGTTAGGAGAATTTCCATTGTCTGAGGCAAAAAACGTTCAGGCAGTCCTATACAAACGCAGAACTAATCAAAGATTCAGGAGAAAATTCAATTGGACTTTTCAAACAGATTCAACTATCAAGTGGCTTGATCATGGCATTAAAGACTAGATGAATGCAAGCATACAACAGAGCAAATTCAGTTTCCACAGAGAACCAGATATGCAACATTTCTCCACAGGTGGGCCCCTTTTGTTATTGAAATACTTCTCTCTCTCTCTCTCTCTCTCTCTCTCTCCTCTCTCTCTCTCACACACATATATATAAAGAAGTTAAATTCATTTCCATAAGGAGCTTAGATGTTCCATGTGTGAATACTCAGCCTCATGGAAAGACCTGATAGAATGGTTCTAAAACTGAATAGTACTAAATAAAAGATCTCTTATGTTACAAAGCAATTTTTTTCAACAACATGCATACACTATCTGTTCTGAAGGATAATGAAAAACAACACAACCTAGCCAAGGGCCTAACTGTACACACACATGGAACATAGCCTGCGCAAGGGGAAACCTTATCAGTGGGAAAGCACGGTGTGTTGCCAATTACTTCTATGTTCAACTGCATGATGTAGCCTTGCTTTACAGGACTCAGAGACTGTGTCTCCACCCCCACCCCACCCCGTCTACTAAGATTTACTAGTAATAAAGGTTGTAAGAAGATCAGTAGGATAGTGCAGTGCCTTTAGCATGGTGGCCTAGTGAGGATGCTGAACAGGTTTCCAATAGAGGTTCAAAAATACAGCTTGCTACTAACTTTTCTAATAAATTTAAAGCTTTATCTGCACCATATGGCTAATTAGGCTACTTTAGCCATTTATCTTTAATGCCACTTTATCTGTTTTTAGTAGTTTTTAAGATGCCTTTGCTTATATATACATTTTAAACCTGAAATTTTATTGTAGATTTTTTTTCAATTGTTACTTTGAGAGGTACTGCAAGTGCCATGAAGGAGGCAGGGTATAACTTTTTAAAATAAATAAGACAAGGAACAGCAGTAAATAACCAAATTATCCCAAGCGAAAGAGTTGTATATATTAGTCAGTACTCCTAAGAAGTTCAGATTTATAGTAATATTAGGGATGCAGACTGCATAAATCTGTAAAGTGTGCATTTTTTAAAACTCCAATAGAAGCTATTCTTCTTGAAGTGAACAAAATTAATCTTTATTACAGAAAGCTACATGTTAGCTGCTTGGTAGTTACAATAAAGTGTCAAACAGGAACGCCTAATTTAGTGTTTTCCCAATATCTAACTTCTAAAGCATTTCCTTCACTTTTAATTCTAAATTAACTTAACCCCTTTATACCAGGCATGTGGATATACACCAATACATTGCTCCTTAAATCATAACTACATAGTATATGTGGTGCACCCAGTTTTAGTTATTCCTCTTTAGAGAGACACAAAATATTTGGAATATCTACATTTCAATTCATTTGATAAGGAATGTGCTGGGTATACCACTACCCTTTAGTAAAAAGACCTCAGTGGCCCACTTACAAACACCAAACAATGGGTGGCAGCAAACAAACTACAGTGACCCTTAGTTTATACAGTCACCCCATTTTCTTTTCTATGCAAAACAGATGAATGTAAGCCTCTGGTTCCACTTTAGAACAAAACACAGTTCCATATTATGCACAAACTTGGACAGAATATCAAACTATATTGGGTTATTTAAACTAACTTAAGTTTGAGCAAACCACAGTTCCCCGAGTTCATATGTAATGAAGAGTTGTGGCTTGTTTGAAAGTGAAAACTTCCACAAGTGGAGAAGAGAGAAGAGTGAGTACACATTAAAGAAAGACCATAAACCATGCTGAAACAGGAACGGATATGCCTCTCCCAGATGAGATAACCCCTCCTTTATGGAGCTGCATCTCTGCTTCCTATTCTTTCTGTACTCCATGTCACATGCTTCTTCCTTTACTAAAATATTAACTTAAAAATATATTAATGGACCCTGAATGTGGCATATTTTATAATTAAGAGAAGGATTATTCTAAGTCAAACGTTCATTTTTTAGTATTCTGGCCTTTTAAATATACATACCTAAGGGACACATCCAGTACAGTGGTACCTTGTGTTACAGAGGGGATACATTCCAGAGACCCATCCATAATGTCAAAAGCCCGCAACTTGAAGCACCCCACTGCTTCTGTGCATGCGCATGCGGCAAAACCCAGAAGTAACCCATTCCAGTACTTCTGGGTTGCCGCGGGATGCAAGATGAAAACTATATGCTCTTATCCATGTATAAGACGCCCCCTAATTTTTGACATTATTGTTTAGGGAAAAAAACCTAGTCTTATACACGGAAAAATACAGTATATTCATTTGGCTGTTTTCAATTAAACATGAAGGAAAGTTTAGCTCAAAAGCAGGCCATTAGTGGAACATATATTTGAGATGGCGAACCCCATGCATAATTTCCCTTTAGTGAAGGGACATCATTGTAGCAACAGCCATTACTAAGATATCTATGATGATTTAGGTTTGCAAGCACAGTTGGTTTTCACAATAATTCTTCACAAGATTAGTTCATGCTGTAATTAGAATGCCTACACATATTCCCAAACCATAACACAACAAAAATGTGTTGTCTCTGCCCAGCTTACTTTACACCCACACCCACACCCACACCCACACACCCACACCCCTCTAACGCATTAATAAAGGTTTAGATCCCCACACCACCTAAAAGCTCTTGCACTAACAGTCATGGGTTGCACTCCTTCATTTTCACAGTCACACCTAAGCCTGCCTGTATAGGCTAAATTCAGTAGATCCTTGTACAGCAGTGAATTCCTACAAATGAGTTTCCTTTTCAGGAGCAGAGCAAGAAACATCTGCTTTCCCGCTACTAGGTAGCTTAGATTAAGACCAAGGCTCTTCAGAGAAGACCTGGCTATCTAAACAACTTACTTTTCATTTAAATTAATTCAATTACAGTCAAGAAAACTATTCAACACTTCCTTCTCCTGAGCTCAGCTGAAGAAGAGTCATACTGAAGGAACATATATACAATGACCTCTTTATCTGATGATTTGTGGAAAGTCTTGGCTTTACACCTTTAGGGTCTTGAACAGAGCAGAAGCCTACACAGCGTGTAAATATCTCCAGGGAAATCCAGCACTTCTGAGACATATTAATCAAGAGCAAAGATAGTAACATTTCCATATGTCATGTTGCACTGAGGCATTGCATCTCAATTTTTGTCCTTGGGTATTAGTAGCAAAGAGACTGACAGGTAAATGTCAAAAGGAAAATGGCAGCGTGCATTAAATGTTAGCCTCCATCTGCCATCTATTCTGTGGGTATAGGTACCCAGCTCCTAGACACACAGAAAGACTGATACCAAACTGAAGATGTCGGCAATCTAAGCAAATCAACCCTTTAAGGGTCAGTTGAACTAAAACTGCACTATTATGAATCAAAACAATCCCTTTAGGAATGTACAACCAGTTGCATGCATACATTCAAATTTCTCCCTCTTTCTACCTCTCCAACCCCAACAGTTCCTCATGTTGCATCAAGAACTACAGTGGCATTATGTTAAGTTTGAAGGACAATACTGGGCAGTGCAGAGTTCTGCGATTTGGGGAAAGTGTAAATCTGAGATGCCTGCTATGTGCATAACCTTCTACACTGAGATCCATCACCAGCATTTCTCCCATGCAAACACTACAGGCAAAAATTAAGGGGATTAAAAAGGGATAAAATTATAGTAGTAAATTTATCCAGGAAAGATCAACTGTCTTCCCTTGGCATCTATTACTTGACAATTGTTAAGGACTTCTATGAAGGGGTAGGGTAAGAAAATTATTTTAGAATGAACTCTCCCCATTTTAAACCTCCCCAATAGTTTTGCCATTTCTTTAATAAGTTTATGAAGCAGGGATGCCAAATAAAGTTGATGCACATGTAATAAAGTGATAAAGCAAAAGAGACTGCAAAGTCCAGAACATCTGAAAGAACTGCTGCTGCTAGTTTGCAGAACCTCACCTTGACCTATATACCATGCAATAAATGCACAAATGTCAATAAATTGGAAGCAGGAGTATCTGGAAGGTGGGGTTCTAGCAGGAGCCAAAAAGGAAACCCATGAGAAAATCAAAGTGAAAGGAGAAACCTATGTGCCAAATGAAATAATACAGTGTGATTTTAGCTATAGTTTTCATAATAAGAAGGGTGAGCAGGGGAGGGAGGTAGAGAGAGACTCTATTCCTGCATCTATGAAAGAGGCCTTGCAAATACTTTCAGCTGAGCTTTTTTATGAACTGTGTATCAAAGCAACCGTGGGGAATGGAAGCAAATCGGTTCAGAAATCACCACAAGACCCAGGGGGAAGTCGGAACAGTGAAAGGTATCTTGTCCTGTTGGGTCTGAATCAGAAAACTCTTGTTTCTTATCTTGCCTTGTTTATATTGCTTCATATATTTTCAACTCCTGTAATGAAAAACATGAGAACACAGCTTGTGGGCAATCCTCCACCCTTGCCTGACTTCTCCTCACTTGTGCTGATATTGCAGGAAAAGGTGTCCTTTTGGCACAGGGAGTCTGGGAGCGGCTCTCATGCCAGTACTGCTCCCCAGAATGCCAGCACAATGCACTCAAAAGGGCTGAGAATGCTACTTCAGCACACACACGCAGCTTGGAAAGCTTCCTGCATGAGTCAGGGGCTCGCTTGACTTGGATCTTACTGAGCATATTGCATGAACTCATTGACATTATTTTTTAAAATCTCCCAACTCATTGTAGTTAACCTACTTTTTCCCCCTAGGTGCTGAATCACCAACAAAATTGGCAAAGAAAATGTCATTGGGATTGAATATTTCTCAGTGAAGATAAGGTTTCAAAGTCGCGGTAGCAGAATGAAATTAAGATTCTTGACCCCATTCCACAATAGTGAACAGAAGTATAGAACAGGTACTTGCAAGTGCCATTATCAAATAAGGGTTACTGGGAATCAGCATCCTAAACAGAAGCAAGTCAATGTATATACAGATATGTAACCTGGTTTTTTCCATAGGAAGATATACTACTCAGGGGGGGAAAACACATGAGAAAGTCTCTGTCCTTTTTTCTTTATTTTTTAAACCAAGCATTCCTAGCTAGCATGCAGCAACATTCAGTGTTCTAGTCTACACTGGTTTTCTATGGTCCTCCAAGCACAAACGAAATAGCTGGTTTTGACCTATAAGGTCCTTGACTTTTTTGGGTCCTTCATAACTCAGGAGATAACCAGACATGCTGTCTTGATTATACTATCTATGTGCCAAGCTCAAAACAGGAATTTAGCACAGATATGTAGAGAAAGATGTGCTGGCTGTCCCACAATTGCAAAACTCCCTTTCCCTAGAGAGAGATCCAAGTCCAGACTTGAGTACTCTTTGGAACAGGTATGAAGCCTTCATTGAACTGCCATTTTAACAGCAAGCTAAGCAGGCACTGGGTAACTGGATATTTGTTTTTGCTGCATGTACCAATTTTAATTTAAAACTAGAATAATGTGCCCTGAGGCATGATAAGGTGTAGGCCAGAAATTGAACTAATCTGAACTTACTAAATAAAAAAAATGTGTTTATGTGGTAGATTATACCGTATTTTTCGCTCCATAAGATGCACTTTTTCCTCCTAAAAAGTAAGGGGAAATGTCTGCGTGTCTTATGGAGCAAATGCATGGTCCCTGGAGCTGAATTGCTCAGGGGCGAAAAGCAGATTGTGCTTTTCTTTTTTTTAAGAAAGAGGGAAGGGGTGTTGAAACGAAGCCGCTGATTGGCAAACGATCGTGAGAGAGATAAGGCTGCAGGTAAAGGAGGCTGCCGGGGGAGGGGGGGGAGGTAAAGACAGCAAACTTGCAAGGAGAGGAGACAGGAATACTAAAACAAGCAATGAGGATAGAAATTAGAAGAAAAGGAGGAGCAAAAAACTGCTCCAGCTAAGGAAAAGACGCTAAGGCAAACAAGAGGGAAAGGGGTGTTGAAAGGAAGCCGCTGAGCTGCTGATCGGCAAGCGATCAGGAGGGAGATAAGGGACACTAGCGATAAAGGAGGCTGCCTGGGAGGGAGGAGGTAAAAGCACATGGATCCTCAGGATTTTTGCATTGGGTCACCCCAAATTCACCATCAGATCACATAGCATGTCCATGGCTATAGCCTGCACCAAAAAAACCCACATCCACTGTTTCGTGGGGCCACAATGGCGCAAAAACATGGTTACAAAGCACGGATCCACATGGATTCTCAGTATTTTTGCATTGGGCTACCCCAAACTCACCGTCAAATCACATATCATGTCTGTGGCCACAACATGAACCACAAAAATCATACATCCACTGTTTCTTTCAGAATATTTTTTTCTTGTTTTTCTCCTCTAAAAACTAGGTCCGTCTTATGGTCAGGTGCGTCTTATAGAGAGAAAAATACGGTACTTATGAATTGCAGTCATCAGTCCTCTCAAGTCATTTGAGGGAAGCAAGAAAACCATGGTCCAGTTCATATGTACACCAAACTATGGCTAAGTTTGATATGCACGAATGTGTTTGTTCACGTTTTGTTTCCCCCAGACAAACCATGAGTGATAAGCTAGGATCAACTGTGGCTACAGCTTAGGGTTTGTCAGGACTGAGATAAATCATGGGCCCTCGTGGTCCCTTCCAACTCTACAATTCTATGATTATATGAGCCATTTGAATGCCCATTCACCCTTGCGGGCCCGATGAGTTTCCCCACCCCTGTATTGTGCATGAGCATGATTGCTAAACTTACTCAGGAGTCTTTAGTGAAAACAAGGCTGACAATCTTGAGCAACAGGTAAGAGTCAACCATCCACGTGAATTTCATTCATGTTAAGGGACCCTGTATGCCCTTACCTATGAATCCTTGCCAACTTCCTGACAGCAATTACTAGAGGAAAGAAAAGAAAGAAATACACCCCAAAGTGCAGGCTAACCTCTCTTTTCTAAGCATAGCACAGGGGTTGAGCTGATGCTGAGGCAGCTGCTATTCCTTACTGCTCTCACTAATATCCCAAAGCAGACTCCCACCCCTTTAACAACTATAAAGTCCTTTAAAGACCACACCTCTTGGACTCAGGGGAAATTAGATCTTTAGCAAGATAATGCTATCACTTAATCTGATTAGCCCAGGAGATAGCAGATAAACATAACAAAGAACAGCCGGACAGCAGCTGTAAACCCAATCCAGTCAAGTAAATCAGACAGCTGCCCTGAGAAGCTCAGCATCTGGGGCCTGTCACATGCAATGCTTTTAGGGAAATGACAGACTCTCAGTTCTCACGTTAGACATGGGAAAATGTGTTAATCTGTTTACCTTAAATGGATTTCCCTCAGTCTGAGTTCAAAGGGATTGATGTTGGGAAACACTGCCAAGGCAGAAGCTGAGCTGAGCATGAAGTCCAATGCGCTTATCATAGAGGGTCTATTGCGCGAAAAAGCATGACACAGGTCAAGCAGGAAACATGACTTGTAGCACAATGTAATTCAACAGTTAATTAAAACCTTAAGTGTGAGGCTAAAGACTTGTTGCCCGGATGGCTCCTATATCTTCTACTGACTATGAACTACAACCTATGGTTGGTTTCTCATGCTCCCATCATGCATGACTTAGACAAAATGAGTGCAAACTCATTCTAAGCAAAAATGATGTTGCACGAATCCCATGCTGACATTTCTGCTACTGTGGCACTATGATTATTCCAATCTATTATACAGACCATATTTCACAGGCTGGATGCAGATCGGATAAAGCATATGACAGCATCTGTCTCAAACTATCGAAAATTGTACATCTACACAGAATTCCACATTTTCTGAGTAGCCAAAACCAGTGTGGGTAAGTCACAAGTTGTGGTGGGTAGATGAAAGCGACTACTCAATCCTTTTCCCTGGGGGCCCCTTTTCACCCATGGGGGGAAAGATAAAGGGGCTATCAAATCATTTTGTTTTGCAGGTGACAAAAAGCAACTAGAGGACAGTGACTTTTGAGTTGGAAAACAACCAAGAGGAATGGGTTAACCATGCTCCATCCATTCATCTTTCTTCTGCCCTAAGGTGACCTATCCAAGTGCATTTTGGCTTTTAAATGGAATGGGGAGAGTAATTTCTGATAAGGTATAATTTGAGCTTGAGAACTTTTGTTGAACTATAACCCAGGAGCAGATATTCTGCCACCTCTTGTCTGAAAGGAAAAAAGAGCAGGGATCAACAGTAAGATGATGTGTTCAAATCTTATTTTAAAATTATTTTGGCAGCCATTTCTACAAACCAATACACATTTAAGCACATCTGCGAAGCCAACTGGGCTTAGCATTAAGAAGCAAAAACATGTACTTTTCTTAGAAGCACATCTTATTTCCTGTCAGCAAAGCCATATTCCACTTGAAACACTGAATCAGAAAAATTTAATTTCTCACACTGTCACATTTCTGGTAAACGTAAAAACTCACAAACATTTATTTCAATACTTGCCATTCCTCACACTATTAACAATTCCTTTGCTGCAGCTACTGCACTTATGACCATTTTAATTTCATTTTGAAAACACAACTACATCATCTGCAATCCTTATATCGATCCACACCATTTCTAAAAAATAACCTGGATTAGCATTTATCCTATTTTCTTTGGCAATAACATGCTTTTCTTTTATCTTATTTTGATTATATGCACTATAAAATACAGCTATAAAAATAATGCTAGACTTGAGCGAACTGTTCTATGATTAATTTAATTACTGTATTAATGTTCACTCTTGCATTTCATTCTAAAGACCCCCAAATCAGCTAGCAACACTAATAAACACATATTTTTGGTGTGTTCATTCTTGTGTTGAGTGGATATTTTATGCTGTCAGGGCTTTTTTCAGCCAGAACTCACTGGAACTCTGTTCCAGCCCCTCTCTGGTGGGCGCCATTATAAGAGAACAAAAGGGAGGTGCTCATGATGAGTTCCAGCATCTCTTTTTCTTGAGAAATAGCACTGAGGGTGTGGGTGTGTTTAATCAACATTCACATCTGTATTGTTTTAACTGATCTTTAAAAAACATTTTTGCATTTTATTGTCTTTATAGATTGCTTTGAGACTCCTGATTGGATGAAGCAAGGTGTAAATTTTTAAAAAAGCAAAACAACTAAACTATTGATAACTTTGAAGGAAATTAAAACTAACACTGACCTATAGCAATACACACTTAAATATTTAGATGTCACTAATCAGCACTTAAATTACAGTACAATTGTATAAAGTGCCTATGTTTAATGGGGCCTACTCCAAGGTAAATGAAAGTGGGTACAGGAATGTCGTAATCAAGACAGATTAAGATTTGTGGAAATCTTGGTTGAATAAATGTCCCATGTCCTGATTGATCAGATTGTCAGAAGATGACTGATTCCAGATGCAGGAACTGGTGTATAGCTTGGATGCACTCCTTGAGCCACCTCTGCTGCTTGAATAGTCACTGCTAGGAGTGACTATTGCCAGCTCTGGCTGGTTTTCCAGGTACAGATGTTCCTGGGCAAAGTTGCTTGGTCATAGTCTAATAACTTCCAAACTGAATTATTGCGGTATCCACATGTGGGCTATGCTTAACAATATTTGGGAACTGAAACGAGTGTAGAATGTAGCAGCAAGGCTATTAGTCGGCATCTTTGGCCAAACACACATTACACTGGTCTTAATTGGCACTGGTTGCCAATTCACCACTGAACCCAATTTAAGGTGTTAATACTGACAGATAAAACCTGAAATACTTGGGCTCCAAATATCTGAAGAAGTGCCTCCTCCCACATCAACCCACTCATTTGTTAAGATCAGCAGGGGAGACTCTATTTGCAGTGCCAAAAACTCTCTGTGGTTTAAAAGGTTGTGGCGCATGAGACAGCCTTTTCTGTGG